TTTCTTGTGCTGCAAAAAGTATAAAAATAATCTTTATATAGGAATCCATTACTGTAAATCTTTCTAAATCTCTGCAAATGGCTCTAAGGGGGGGGGGGGAATGAACAAAGAGGGTGGGCTACCCTCCAGGGCTGACCCATCCGAAAGACTAGCTAGAGATCCCTGCGCTCCAGGTTAGCCCCCACAGGTTCAGGGCTAGGGCAGGGCACAGGGGCCTGAAGGGCAGCAGGAGCAGTCGGGTTAGGGTGGACAGCAGCGAGGGCTCTCCGGGTGGTGCTGGTTAAGCCCCCAACTCCACCCTTCCCTCCTTGGGGGTGGGAACTAGCCAGGAGCTGGGCACTGGGGCTGAACGCAGCCCTGCGGGGAGGGGACGATGACGGGGTCTCCGGCCTGCGCCTCTGGGTGGCAGCAAGGCCAGGGCCTGGGGAGAAAGGCCCCAGGAACAGAGGCTGACACTGGCTCACGGAGGGCAGCGAGCCCCTTCCTACCTCTCCCAGCACGGCTTGGGCAGGGAGCCAAGGGAGGGCTGGGGAAGCCAGGGGCCGTGCAGGGGCAGGGGGCCCCCAGGTCAGACAGTCTGTGTCCCAGCCACACAGGACAAGTCCCTGCCAGTCAGAGGTTGAGAACAGGCACATCAAAGAGGTCACACACGCCTTCACTGTCGTCCAGGTTGTAGATGTAATCGTGGTCTCCAGGGGGCGGGGAGAGGCGTAGGAGGGGGGCAAATACTGCAGAGAGCACTAGGCTGAGGTCCCGCCCAGGCTCCTCCCCCCGCCCACACCCACTCCCCCACCGTTGGGACCACCCACCTTCTGAGGACATCAGCTCCTCCAGCAGCTCCTCGCTCATACACTCTGGGAAGGAGGGGCTCAGTTACTTCCGGCTCCACCTCTTCCCCCACCCCCAGAGGCGGTCCCCTTGGCCCCGGGGACCAAGCACAGCCTTCAGTCAGGTCTTCAGGTGAGACCAGCGGGGCGAACCCAAAGTGCTCACTGTGCCGCCCAGACCCGGGGGTGCAGCACCTACCTCGAGTGGGATCGAAAATTTCGGAGAGCTCTTTGGGGAGTTCCAGAACTGAAAGAAGAAGCCAGGCTAAGGGCCACGCCCACCGGGCCCCACTAGCCCCTGCCTGCCCCAGCCCCAACCAGACCCCCCCTCAATAATAGGCCCAGGGAACCAAAGGCTGGAAAGCCTGGCTGGCGGGGCTCGCCACAGCCAGCCTCACTCAATGGTCCCCCATAGGCGAGCAGGCTCTTCAATCCCTTTCTGGGCTCCACATGCTGAGCACCCTAGGCTGGCTCAGTCCACACTGGAAGTCCAGCCACCTGCTTACAGGGGGACCATTCTACTAGAAAGGTCAACTAGGGAGGAGATGACATGGGGTCAGAGGGCCCAACAGCTAGCAAGTGTGAGGGACTTCGTCAGGCCAACTTTACACTAAGAAAAACCCAAGCTCACTGCTGAGTCAACTCCGACCCATAGCAACCCTGTAAGTAAGACACAGGGTAGAACTGTCCCCCGGGGCTGCCGAGATGATAAATCTTCATGAAAGTAGAACGTCTCATCTTTCTCCCACGGAGCAGCTGGTTCAAAGGGCGAACCTTGCAGGTGGCAGCCCAAAACAAACCCAGTATGCCACCAGGACTCCTTAGGCCAGGCTTTGGAGGACTGTGGTGGTCAGCTGGGGTGAAGAGGTGGCTGGGTGG